CTGTGTCCAGAGTGCTGAAATATCACCATAAATAAATATAGTACCAGATCAGAACAGCCAGCCCTGTATGACAGCAGCTGAATGTAGAAATATTTTAAAAGTTAATAGCTCTATTGAGATATAATTTACAAACAGTAAAATGTACAGATTTTAGGTGTGGATTTTGATGAGTTTGAGAAATGTATATCCTATATAACAACCACCCCAATCAAGATTTGGAATGTTTCCAAACCCACAGAAGGTTCCTTTGTGCTCCTTTGTGGTCAGAGCTGCTCCCCGCCCCCTCCGAGACAGCCAGGCCTTTCTGTGACTGTTGTCAAGCTTCTCATCAACGGAAACACACAGTGTGTACTCTCCCGAGTCTGTCCTCTCTGCTCAACATGGTATCTGTTTGACTGATGCATGTTCATGTGTGAATCAACAGTTCATCCTTTTTTATTGGTGACAGTGGTCATTGTATGCATATTACCACACTTGTTTGTGAATGGATATTCACCTGGGGTTGGGCATTTAGGTTGTTTCCAGCTTTTGGCTGTTCTGAATGAAACCTCAAGGAATACTTGTTCACACGGCTTTGTATTTTCATCTGTTTTGGGTGGAATTTCCAGGCATCGCAGAGTAGGCACATATTTAGATTTACAATTAAACGTTAGTAAACCATTTCCTAAAGTGATTGTACAATTTTACTGCCCCACTGACATTGTATGAATGTTCTGGGAGCTCCACAGCCTTGCCAGTAATTGGCGTCAGTCATTTTGGTTTCTCTTACGAATAAGGATGTTGAGTATTTTTTAATCTGCTTATTGACCATTCATGAACCTTCTTTTTTCCAAGAAGCTTCAAGTCTTTTACCCATTATTTATTGGGTTGTTAAGTCTTTTCTAAGGTAAATGTATTTCAAATGCCTATGGTTTAGTTTTCCTGTTTATTAATGATGATTTTGAAGAACTTAAGTTTTTTATTATGATGACAACTGAATTTATCAGTTTATTCATTTATGGGTAGTGCTGTTTTTATGTTAAGAAATTCTTGACTATCTTACTATTATAAAGATTTTATCTTAAGTTTCTTCCTGAGTTTGATAGTTTTAGCTTTTATGTTTAGGTCTATAATCCATTTCAGACTAATTTGTACGTGGGATGTGAGGTAGTTGTCAGTGGGTTCATTTTGTTTTCACAAGTGGATATCCATTGGGTCTAGTACCGTTTGCTGAAAAGACTGGCCTTTCCTTATTGAATGCCCTTGTGCTTGTTGAAGAGCAATTGACTGTATATATATGTCAATATATGTACACTATTCTGTTCCAAAAATATATTTGTCTATCCTTATGCCAGAACAACACTGTCTTAAGACTGTGGCGTTACAGTAAGTGTAGAGCTCAGATAGAATGGGTTTTCCGACTTTGTTCATTTTTTTTCCAAAATTGTTGTTCCACCTGGTAATATTTACTTTCAGGCTGAAATACTTCCTGCAATATTTCTTGTAGTGCAAATCCATAGGTGATTACTTTTTCAGTTTTTTCAGTAAAATAAAATTCCTTTATTTTACTCCTTTTTGAAGGATATTTTTATAAAATTTAAAATCTTAGGTTGACAGTGTTTTTCCTCTCTGTGCTTTGACGGTGTCATTTCATTGTCTCCATGCCTCTGCTGTCTCTGATTAGAGGTTGGCTGACACTCCTGTCATGGTTCCTCTGTATGTAATTTGTTGTGCTTCTCTGACTGCTTTCAAGATGTTTTCCTTTGTCTTTCATTTTCAGTAGTTTGACTATGATTTGCCTAGTTTTTTTTTTCCCTTTCTATTTATTTTGCTTGGGTTTTGCTGTTCTTCTTAAGCTTATAAATTGGCATTTGGGGCCAAAATAGGGAGATTTTTTGACATTATTCTTTCAACTTTTGTCTTGTTTGGCTATTATTTATGCTCCATGTTCACCTCTCCTTCTGAACCCCAAATACTGATACATGTATGTTAGACCAGTTGATATTATCTCATAAGTACTTGGGCTCTTTTCATTTTTTAAAATCTTTTTTTTTTTTTTTTTTTTGCTGTACACGGTCCTCTCACTATTGTGGCCTCTCCCGTTGAGGAGCACAGGCTCCGGACGCGCAGGCTCAGTGGCCATGGTTCACGGGCCCAGCCGCTCTGCGGCATGTGGGATCTTCCCAGACTGGGGCACGAACCCGGGTCCTCTGCGTCGGCAGGCGGACTCTCAACCACTGCGCCGCCAGGGAAGCCCCCATTTTTTTTTTTTGAAATCTTTTATTGTGTATACTTGAGATTAATAATTTCTATGAATCTGTTTTCATGTTCACTCACCTTTTTATCATGCCAGCTACAGTCTCTTAAGCCCATCCAGAAACTTTTTAATTTTGCTTTTCAGTTGTAGAATTTCCATTTGTTTCTCTTTTATAGTTTCCATTTCACTGCCCAGATTTCCTATCTGTTCCCTCATCAAGACCATTTTTCCTTTAAACCCTTGAGCCTATTTTGATAGCTAAAGTCCCAACAACAAATAGATGTTTTCTGCTAGCTACAACATCTGGGTCAACTCAGGGTCTCTTTCTATTGACTGCTTTTTTTAAAAAAATGAGTATGGCTCACATTCACCTGACTATTTGCATGTCTAATAAATTTTTATTCTATATTGGACATTATGAATGATACAGTGTACAGAGTTGGGAGTATTTGTCATCCTTTAAAAAGGGTAGTTTGTTTTATCAGACAGTTAATTACTGGTGGTTTCTTAATCTTGTTGAGGCTTAATTTTAGCCTTTTTTAGGGCTGGTCTAGAGTAGCCCTTATGTAGGACATGGTTTTGACTCCAACACTATGGACTTTTCGGTGTCTTGGTCAAATTCTCATGGTATTATTGAGCTCTCTCCACTCTGGTCTCTCTACTCTCCCAGTAATGTGTGTCCTCTAGTGTCTTTTTCTCACTCTCAGCTCTGTATCAGCTGCTCTCTGCTTGGCTTCACCAAGTCTCATCTTGCACATGTGCAGTCCAGCCCTTGGCCAAGGTCCTGTGAGTAGCCCACCTAGATTTCTGGGGTCCCCTTCTTGGAGCTCTGTCTTCTCCAGTCTTTGTCCTCCAATTTCCAGCTGCTTCCTCAGCTCTGAACTATAATCTTTGTCTCCTCAGCACAGCCCAACTCCTTTTTTATGTTTCTCCTCCCTGTGCTGCTGGGAGGAAATGGTCTCCAGGCTGACATTCAGGGCTCATCTTGGTGTACTTAGGTTTCACATTTCTGTGCTGCCTGTTGTCCAGTGTCTGAAATCACCACTTCATATATTTTGTCCAGTTTTATAGTTGTTACTCTGTCATGTGCAGAAGCCTCAGTGTGGTAGAAGTATTGTTTTGAACGTTGCTCCTGAGATTACTGGTTCTCAAACTTAAGCTTGCATCAGATGTATCTGGAGGACTCGTCTACACAGAGACCCTTAGGCCCCATCCTTTAGTGTTTCTGATTCAGTAGGATTGGATTGGGGCCTGACAATTTGCATTGTCCAGGTGATAACTGATGCTGCTGGTGTGGGAACCACACTTTGAGAACCACTTACTTGGAAAGATGGATCTTGAGAAAAAAATGTTGGGATTTTATTTGGCACTTACTCCATACAATTTTACCTTTCTTTCTTTGGGGGGGGGGGTAATAATACTTACATCTCAGTTTATTATAACACTATACATCTTGCTTTTTTCATTCAAAGTATGAATTAATGAGGAATTTTTTTTTTGCACTGAGAAGGATAGATTCTCCTTTTAATTGATAGAAAATACATGAGAGAATAAGTAAAGTTATTTAACAATGAAATACTACCATTCTTTTTTTTTTTTGGCTTCCCAAATAAATTTGATTCTTTCAAGTTATGAAACTTGTAGAACATGGAGTGTGATAAGTTTCAGAAGTAATTGCTTTTTGTTTCAGAAATTGGGTTTTATTTTAATTATTCTCAGACTTATTTGTATATATGTGAAGTAAGTGTGTGTTTGTGTGTGTGTGTGTGCGTGTGTGTGTGTGTTTTGTAGGTGAGATGTGAAACAGTGATAACCAGTAGGCTTGCTGGATCGGGCTCTACCTTGTCGTGTCCTCAGGTTTCCTGACAACTTACACTTCATTCTTTAATAGCTGTTAAGATAGCTCTTAATCCTTCTACCTTAGCAGCACTTATTATCTGCTTTCTTTGCCTCTTTCGGTTCAATGGCCCTATCTCTCATTTGTCAGGATTTTGACATTTATTGCTTCCTTTTACTCTACTCCATATATTTCCTGTCAGTGTAAGGTTTATACTGGTGTCAGATGGTGACTCTCATTGTTGAGGATGCTGACATTGTTCTTGCAGTGGCTACAAAACAGGAAGTGTTCTCTCAACAACATCATAGAATATCTTAGATGGGAAAACAGATTTGTCCTATCCTTTCAAATTCTAATCAATCCTTGACAGATTTTTTATTTTTATTTATTTATTTTTATAAATTTATTTATTTACTTTTGGCTGTGTTGGGTCCTCATTGCTGCACGCGGGCTTCCTCTAGTTGCAGCAAGCGGGGGCTACTCTTCGTTGTGGTGTGTGGGCCTCTGATTGCAGTGGCTTCTCTTGTTGTGGAGTACAGGCTCTAGGCACATGGGCTTCAGTAGTTGTGGCCCGTGGGCTCAGTAGTTGTGGTTCACGGGCTTAGTTTGCTCCACTGCATGTGGGATCTTCCTGGGCCAGGGATCGAACCCGTGTCCCCTGCATTGGCAGGTGGATTCTTAACCACTGTGCCACCAGGGAAGTCCTGACAGATTTTTTAATGTAACAACTTTTTTAATTTTTTGGAAAAATTGGTACAACAGCCTTTGGTGGTTAGATTAGAAAGCTGTTTCGTAGCACAGTGTCAATATTGTTTCAGCTGTAATGTGAGATTACAACAATTTTAATCTCAGTTTCAGAGGTATGTTCTCTAATATTTTGACACAGGCATAGTGATATACTGATTACTAAATTCTCACTTCCAATAGGTCCATTTTGATTCCTGGGACCACAAATATGACTACTGGATGGATACAGACAGCCCTGACATTCACCCAGTCGGATGGTGTGACGTCACTGGTCATCCCCTGGAAGTGCCGCATCGTGAGTATCTTGCTCTTTGTGTTGTTGCTTTTTAAATACTTAGCCTGGAGCCTATCTTAATGCTGTTTATTTCATGTCATTATAAGTATTTTAAAGCTCAATATCACATAGGTGAATTGATTAATCAGTGCTATAGCTACACTGAAAGCCAGTTATTCACAATTAAGCCTCAAAAGACATGCTCTATATAAATGAAGCGTTATCAACATTAAGGAATTATTTTGATAATGTTGTGTGGCAGAATCTTTGTTTTCCACATTTTAGTTTGGAAAACTGAGCCAGGTCTAAATCCATCTAATTTGGGCCTTCGCTTTTAGCTGAAGTGCTTTTTGTTTTCTTAAACATCTTATCTTAATTGATTTTGTTTTATAGAGTAGGTTTCAAAAAGTTTTAGAAGAACAGAAGTATTTTAAACTTCAGCAATTAAAAAAATTTTAGTTGTAAAAATTGGAAGAAAGACAACCTTCTGTCATGTCGGTATCTTCATTATTTCTGTCTTTCTAGGTACTTAAAGTTAAGGAGGTAATTAACCATTCTAAATTCTAATAAACCTCGAACCAAAATATTTTATTCTTTCATCTGCAGGATCCCTCTGATCAGATTAGGCTGACATGACTAATAACTAGTTTCAGACATTTTGCGAGCACTCTCCATCCTTATGTTTGCTTTGTTCCCCCACTGCTTCTGTTGTCCTCCCTTTGGTTTCTTGGCGTGAAGGTAACCTTCTATCCTGTTAATGAGGATGAACCAGCCCAATGGTGCTTGAACCTTAGATCTAAAGGATTAACTGCGTCTTTGAAAGAGTTCCTTAACTTCTTTTAGAAATAAGGAGAATTACTGACTTAATAACTTGACAAACATTTTGACATTGTGCTAGTTTCTTCAAAAGCTACACATGGATGAGGTGCAGGTCCTCATGTAACTTACAGTGTATTAGCAAGTGCAGGGTCTGCATACAGAGAGTGTAAAACAGGGAGAACAAGGTCAGTTCCATGGAGGGGGAAGGGTTAGCATATTTGCTCTGTGCTTTTTGCTGATCCCACTTTCTCTTCTCCTTGATCTTGCATCCCATCTTGACAGGGAGGTGTCTCTTGGTTGATGTCAACCACCCACCACCCACCAGCACGCACATTCTGTCCCTCATCCCAGTAAGCTTCTCAAGTAGGGATTTCAAGGGAGATGGGCCCGGATCAGCGTTTCAGGTACGGAGACAGCTGTCTTCATTCTGCCTCACCCATTACCTGTTCCTTGGTCAGGCTGCCTACCTGGCTTCTCGACCCAAATGTCTCAGAAGCTTCGCAAAGTCTATGGATCGAACCTCAGCTCCATCCCAAGCCAAAAGCTTGTCTTTCTACTGTAGTTGCTACTTGATTCCAAAGTTGCTGCTTCCCATGCAGTCATTCTAGACTCTGCTCCCTCCCTACCCCTCCCTCACCCCACACATCAGCCAGTCATCAAGTCTTGATGGTTCTCTTTCTTAATTTCTCAGAACCCATCTCTGACCCCTTCTTCCCCTTCCCAGTACCATTGCATTTGAGTTCTCATCATAGGTACAAATGGTTTGCAAAATATGACCTGCAATTTGCTGGTTAGTGAGTCACACTGATCCTCCCAATCTAAAAATTCAGGCTCTAGAGGCAGGATTGCCTAGCAGTTGAGCGTGTGAAATCTGGAGTCAGAATGCTGACATGTGAATCTCAGTATCACTGCTTTGCTTAGCTGTGTGATCTGTGCCTGTTTCCTCATCTAGAAAATGGAAGTGATATTAATGTGTCAGTCTCATCATCTGTAATGATGAAATGAGATAAATTCGTGCATAACATCTCAAAAACTGCCTGGCCCACAGGATGTGCTCAATTAGTGTTAGCTGCTATCAGAAAATAATGTAACATTCTATAGATTTTCATTTTTACCTAAAACTATGTGAATTATTAAGGATTACAAAATTCGAAATTGTGCTAAAATGAATAGGTGACTAGAGTTTTCCAAATACTTAAATTTAGTTTTTTTCTTAAGTTAGGCTTTCCTGTATTCCTGGCAATATTATAAGACTCCTATTTTGAGTATGTGCACTTAAGTAATTGGAATCCCTATTATTTGGGGGAATTGGATATCTTCAGTTGGTCATGATATTGTATTACTGCTGTGCTTGCTTTTTGGTTATAAATGTGTTTGTTTGGATTAATTATTATTAATACAGTTTTATTATAGGTTACTTGTTTAACCCTATTTTTTGTAATTATTCATATCTGCATCATTAGTCTTATTAATTTTTAAATACCTAGACTTTAAGACATGTTCATAGTGTGGTTCAATATATATCATCCATGGCCCCATCGTTAAAGCAAAAATACACACACACACACACACACACACACACACACACACACACACACTCCTACTCCAGTATTTATTTGCCTACTTATTTATCACAGAATCTTTTTCCACTGGAAAGTAAAGACAAATGGTTTGTCTAGGTCCTCCAGCAAAACAAAATTTGACGGTCTAGCATTGATGTTGCAACAGCTTCCTAACTATCTTGTCTCATTTCTTTGCTGTAATAGTCTGTGTAAAACCCAAATCTAACCTCTTAGCAGTATCTTTAGACTTGAGACTCCTTCACATGTACCAGGCCTGTCGCAGTCTGTCCTCTGCTCACCTCATGCCTTACCCTTCCACCGTTTTCCACCAAGAACAGAATTACTTCATTTATACTAAACAGAATGACTCATGGTGCCATGAACATTGGCCTCATAAGATTCTGAAGGCAATATGTCAGCTACACCCTGCTCTCTGAACTTTGTTTACAGAAAGTCACACCCTGCAGTCGGTGTCAGATGCCTGTGTGGTGGGGAGCTGGCAGGGGCACTTGCTCCGCAGTATGGACCGCATGTAGCCTCTTCATTCCTGTCCCGTCTCTTGTGGGTGTATTTGTACAAACAACCACATCAAATCATCTTTTACTGCCCATGCTATTTTAATTCAAAGCATTGATCTTATTTACTCATACAATTCAAACCAAATATGTATGTCCAATATCTTTGATAATCAGATCAAAGTAATTATTGGGTTGGCCAAAAAGTTCGTTCGGATTTTCCATACCATCTTACTAAAAATCTGAACCAACTTTTTGGCCAACCCAATACATTTTGTAAGTAGATCTATAAAACCACACAGAGCATTTTATCACATGTGAGCAGTAAAGTCATCTTACCAACATTAATTTTCAGATATTTTAAGGTATTTTCAGATATTTTAACTTTCAGACATTGTTTGTACTCTGTTGTTTTACTTTTGTGATATTTATGTGATTCCACAATTGCCTTCAGTGCTTTATTATATATAATATGATAGCTTTATTGATCAAACATTGCAAAGACTACTAAACATTTAGGGCTTGGAAAAAGGCTTAATTTTTATTTTAACTTATTTAATTTTGGCTGCATTGAGTCGTCGCTGCTGCGTGCAGTCTCCCTCCAGTTGCTCACTCCCTGCCACGGTGCACATGCCTCTCACCGCGGCAGCCTCACCCGTTGCGGAGCATAGGCTTCAGGTATGCAGGCTTCAGTAGTTGTGGTATGCAGCCTCAGTAGTTGTGGTTCGCAGGCTCAGTAGTTGTGGCTCGTGGGCTCTAGGGCGCAGTCTCCGTAGTTGTGACGCACAGGCTTAGTCGCTCCGCGGCATGTGGGATCTTCCCGTACCAAGGCTTGAACCCATGTCCCCTGCATTGGCAGGCGGATTCTTAACCACTGCACCACCAGGAAAGTCCCTGGAAAAAGGCTTAGAGATCATGCGATCTACCCTATCATTTTGTGGAGGCAGAACCTGACTTGAACTTCACCTGTTTTATTGATTTACTCTAGTGAATTTTCACAAAAGATAGCACAGCAGGTTGTCTACAAGGGGTGTTCTGTGAAAACAAGAGCAATCAAAGAAAATATGAGGTAGACAGTTTTTAAATAGATTCTTCTCATCTGTTTTTCTTTATGAATATTTTCCTTTGACCCTTTTTCAACAGATTTGTAGCTCAGAATTATGATAAATGCCTGGGAAACAGAGGAATAAAGTATATAAAAATATAATAGATGAGCTTTTTCTTTCTTCAGCGACCTCCCAATTTATGTCTGAGGGATGTGCAGTTTAGAAGGGGATGAAATAGAGTAAAATCGTGTAGCTGCCTATGAATGAGCAACACTAAATGTAGATTGTTAATGTGCTTTTGAAGACAGAGCAGAATGACGTAGGGCTGGTCTGCCGAGGCTTTCAGAATGGTGTTGACCTGGGTTCAGAAGAGCACAGGGGACTTGGGCCAGTGGAGGGAGAGCCGTGGCTCAAAGATGGAAATGCCACAAGTAACAAGATCAATTAGAATTTGTTGGTTCTCATGCACATTTTTTTTTTTGTCGTACGCGGGCCTCTCACTGCTGTGGCCTCTCCCATTGCAGAGCACAGGCTCCGGACGCGCAGGCTCAGCGGCCATGGCTCACGGGCCCAGCCGCTCCGCGGCATGTGGGATCTTCCCAGACCGGGGCACGAACCCGTGTCCCCTGCATCGGCAGGCGGACTCTCAACCACTGCGCCACCAGGGAAGCCCTCTCATGCACATTTTATTAGACTTAATTAAAATTTTGTTTTTGTAAATGAGTTTGTATCTATTTCTAATGTCATTCAATCAACATATTTATACTCACTGCAGAAACCGAGCCAAGATGTACTACATGCTGTATAGCCCCATACTTCTGTAGAAATGTTTGTGCAGTGTATTTTGGCCGAGACCATGATATTTAATAATTCATAATATTCAATCACAAAGGACAATGTAAGTTCTCGAAAAGGTAACTGTGAAAAGCCTCTTGAGAGTGAAACTTGAATGTCCCCATTCAGCTGGGAAGAGCGCCAGCTTGTAGGATCAGGTGACAATGACTTCCTCTTAGCCTCTGTTACCAGCCAGGTGCTCACCGGCACTTCACCTTGTGTCCACTGCCGGATTGAGATCTCCT